ATTCAAATTATATCATCCACAATGATATAATTTGTATAAAATTACGGTACAAATTTGCATAAAAATACCACAACATGTAAATACCCCATGTAAATCCCCATGCCCACCTGATGTGACACACACACCTATTACCAGGGTATCTGTAACACCGTTACACAGTGGCCATTGTCGTGTAAACAGAGTGAGTACACTATTGAGTTCTTGTTCAAAATTAAGTCGCTGGTTTAGCGAGGGAGAACAAGTCTTTTCACAGGGCACCGACGTTTTGTGTGCGTAAACCAAATGGTAAATGGCGTATCGTTCACGCCTATATCAATATGAATGCGCAGACGACTCCCGTTCAAACGCCGATTCCGGGTAAGGATGTTTGGCTGTACACAGTTTAGTGTACTTGATTGGTCAATTAGTATTACCAAGTTTTGATGAGGGAGGAGGACGTCTTTTTGACGGCTGTTAGTACACCGTCCGGTATGGCTTGCGATGCCACAGAGGTTATCAATGCCCCAGCAACGTTCAAACGATTGGTCTCACATCTGTTTTGACCGCTGCAACGCTTCGAACAAACCTATTTTGACAATATTATCGATCAATCGGCCGAGGAAGTGCACTTGGAGCACCTTAGTGCGGTTCTGGAATGTAGGCGTAAACATATATTGCGAGCAAATCTTGCAAATTATTTTATTATGTTAAAGACGTGCCGGTTATCGGCTCTAACGTTGGTGAACACGATGCTCGTGCAGACCCAGAGAAGGTCAAAGCAATCGTGGAGTGGCCGACACAACGGAATTCGATGAAAGCCACTGGTTTGACCAATTACCTGCATCGCTTCTCGTGACTACGCGGAAGTCACGAGCAACTTCATCGTGAAGGAAACCCTCTTTCCATGCATAACAATGCAACTTTGATTCCAAGCGACCGGATAACTTGTCATGGAATATCATATCTTTCAATGACAGTGCTCTGATGATCAGATTACATTTTTCATTCTTAACATACACTTGACGTATCATATGGAATATGTCGCTTTCAATGTAGCTGATGATAAGCTAGCTCATAATGACAATGCGTCTGCTGGCACGTTCAGTTTACCTGACTTGTGTGCGACTGTGAAGTTGTATTCTGCGAAGGACGACAACCAGCGAGCCACTCGTTGTGACGAGTGAGGCGACTTAAGCGCATAACTCAAGCTTGCGTGATCCGTGTAGACGACAAACAGAGTTGAACCCTAGATGTGGACACGAGACTTCGCCAAAACATATTTCATTAGTAAAGTATCGCGATCAAAGTAATTCTTTTCTGCTGGCTTTAGCTATCGCGATAGAAACGACGCGATCGTGTCCTTCAGAGTCCTTTTGCAATATATGCAAACTCAGAAGAGTCACACACCACGCTATACAGCAAGTAATGGAGCTTCCATCAAGCTGTTTTTGGTTTGAGTTAATGCTACTTCACAAGTGGATGGCCGCTCCCATGGTACATACTTCTTCGGCAAGTTTGATAGATTATGGATCCCCACAACGATGATTTCAAGTACAAGATAGTGTACGCAACGCATGATACGCCGATAGCCGGTCCCGTTGGCCGTGAGAAGACCTACCAGCCTCTCAGTACCCAATTCTGGCGGCCCCACATGTACAAGTGGGGGGCACGATACGTGAATACTGTCAGCGTGCAGAGCGCAAGGCACCTGCAAAGTGCCACTGCAGAGTCTTCTGTTTCTACTGACTGTTGAAGGTCAGTCGGTCTCGACTTTATTTTCGGCTTCCCCAAGAATGCTGATGGCTACAACGGGATGCTCGTTTTTGTGAACGGACTCAGCGAGATGGTTCGCATAGCTCTGTGTAGCGATTCCATCGATACCAAAGATTTGGCTAGATTGTTCGTGTATCATGTCATTCGTAAGGGTTGCTGATTTTGATTCACGAGAGGCTTTTGGAATGAAATGTTCCGAATTCTTGGCACTCGCTTGGATATGTCCACAGCGGTACTCATGGGGACTGATGGTCAAACATAACGTACCAATCGAGTGGTCGGTGATGTGTTGGGAAGCTTCTGTGTGAAAATTATCGCAAAATGGAGTTCGTTGTTACCATTGGTTGACATTGCTATGAACAATTGTTTTCATTTATCCACCGAATTTACGAAATTTTTATGAATGGCTTGCGACGCCCGCAAATACCGCTTTGTGCGATGGGTCGTGTCTCTAATGTATTTGAGGGGGAGCTCGGCAAATCGTTCCAAATTGATACAGGCAATGATGCCAATGCGAAGTGCACGTACGTGGATGCCCTAAACTCATTCATCATGAGTCGTGTGAATATGATCACACGGGTGCGAGACGCAATTGCCAGTGCAAAATATCTGCAAAAGGAATACGCAGATAGACGAGGTCGTCAAGGCAAAATATCTTTTATTGTTGATTGTTATGCACTTCTTCGTACTAAGGGCCTATCAGACGATGCGGTCTCAAGCTTAGGAAGCTCGAAGCTATTACCTCGCTTCATCGGTCCATTCCAAGTAGCGTGATGCCATGGAAATGCGTACATTATTGACCTACCAAGCTGGCTAAGGTCCCATCCGACGTTCTACGTAAGGCCATTCAAGCCCTACCATCGCGACGACGCAATTTCTAGTTTGGTTGAATCGCAGTCTTATTCGATGATGGCTTTAGAGCCAAGGTTTCGGCACGAGGGTCAAAGGCTGAACCCATTCGCGTCGTCGCCTCAGCATCGCCCTCGAAATGACCGGAATAATCGAAAGCGCATGAAACAGAGCAAGATCGCTTGGCATGGGGTGTCGTATCATCAGCGGAAGCAGCCGCAGCAGGCGGGAGAGCTTGCAGATCCTACTCCAATTGGTTGATCCGATCATCGACTGCGCACGCAGGCGATTTTCCATCACGCCATGAGAAGTCTCGAACATCGCGAACGACCTGTTGATTATCTTTCACGCGTTGTCGCGTCGACAACACTCGATCGGTCACCTCTATCAGCCGCTGGCTCATTAGCAAGTAAAGCTTCTCCACATTCGTCAAACGCAGTTCCATGGCGGATGAAGGCTGTGAGCAGTCATAGAAGAAGCAGAGGAGACAGTCACTCCGCCCCCCTTAGACAAGGAACCCGATACTACCACGTCGAGAGCGTGATGGCAGAGAGAAAATCCGCGGTCGGAAGGAGCTCTTGGTAAAATGGCTGGGGTATCCAGTGAGCGAGAATACGTGGAAGTCTCGTACTCGTATTCGTCGCGACTGTTCCCGCATCGCTCGCGTATTCGATGCGTGTCCGAAAATGGACTTTACTTACCATGCTCTTCTTCCCCTGTCCCTCTCGTCGTGAAGCCGACTAATGCCCGAGCGCATTTCATCAGCATCCTCGATATCGGGCTGGACGCCATTCTGCGCTGTCAGATGCGCAAATCGAAAGCACATAATGCGTACTCTCACCAGCGGTGCTTGCGTTTTGCAAACGGTGGATATCCGCAGATCTGGTTGCATGAACCCAAGCTCAGCATTGAGCGTCGATTGTCGGGATGTATGCTCCAGAGTCACGTGGGAACATACATGAGGCTCCGTGATTAGCCTCCAACACAAGTGATCGATCCAGTGTCGAAAAAATACGCGTCACAAGTCATCAGTCGAGCACCCATTCGACTAGTAAGTTCGTCGAACTCCTGGGTGGACCAACCACGTCATTTGTATAAGTCGTCGTGACGATCAAGTTCATGATAGCGCCAATGCCCTTAGTGACGTGATATTGGAGCAATATCAAATTTTGTTGTTGACGAAGTTCCCATGTGGAGCAAGCGTTTGCGTTGTCACTCTAGCGAGAGTTGGACACAGCGATAGCAAGAGCGGAAGAAGAATTGAAAGAAGCGTGAAGAAAATTTTATGAATTTGGGTAAACCCACTTTTGAGTGGGGGTGGGGGTGTAATGGGCCAGACCCCAGCACACATCTTGTGTGGACCATATCATTTTTGCGAGTCTACCATTACTTGTATAGTTGTATGCCCCCCTCTCAGTTTGCTTGTATCAGAACTGGAAGCACTTATCAGGTTAGGGAAGTTAAAAGCCTATTGGTCATATCAATAAATGTCGCTTCATCTTCTCTCTACTCTAGTAAGTATACGCCCCGCTGGAAGCGAGCAAACGCGGTGAGGCGTGTCAGTTGGCCTTAGCCTTTCCCAGAGAGTGTGTATACACTGATAGGCAATTCCCGTTACAATCAAGCGTTTGTGGTTGTTTCATCCTTGAACTTCATACCACTAGGCACATGAAGCAGAATCGCATGTTCTTTCTCCTTATTGACCTTGATAGAGGCGTTCGAAATGATATCAACCTTTTCCGCACCCCCTCTATGTCACTGCTAGAAATTCCTTTGCTATCAACGCGTAATTATCGATGGCAAAGGTACGCCCATGCCAAAAATTTGCTTATTCTCGCACGTAACTTGATGCACCTCCAGAAGATCTACCGCGCCTTTCGCATCGAATTTATCGCTTGCTCACATTCCGGACATCTTTGGTTTCGAGAAACCATTAATTTTTTTCATTATTTTGTACCGCGTGTTGTCTCTACGTGCGTCTTTGGGTCAGCCTCATGAATTTTCATTGCAGTTGCCACATCAACCTCCAGTCGTTTTATTTCTTGTGCCGCTATCTTGACAGTCCCTCGCGTACAATAGGGTACACGTACGCACGATTCTCGTTGGTCGTGCTCATTTTTAGACCAAACGGGGCAATTGACAATGTATTCCCCTTCGCTCATGCTGATAACGTCGCTGTTCTGTGTGCGAGTCAATTTCACACGTTTGGATCACGATCACGACATCGTCCTTACGTATAAACACGCGATATCCCTTGTGCCAATCGCTGCGGCCAATGATGATACCAATCTGTGCTCGACACGCGAAAGAGTTTATCTTCTGATCACGATGAATTGTCACACCAAATCGTACGTCACGATGAATCGAAGATCGGGTGCTTGACTTATCAACACCTCAACTGGCGATTCTTGGATCACATTCAAAAGTGTGGGACTGTGTTTCATTATTTACGCTAAGTACTACGCCACATCTCTTTAAGAGTCAGCAAGCCCTTCTTTGCAAAATTACGGATTGTGTATGTCTGAAACTGTTCGGTGTATGTGCTCTGCCTTACTGATAGATGCTAAAAACTCAACTGTCTTTGCACATCGAAGGGATTGCAGAGCAAATCGACCTTCCAATATTTGCACCGCCATATGTGCGTAGCACATAAATGCGACAGTCGAAACGCTCCCTAAAGTACATTAAAATGCAAAAACTTCTTCCACTTGGTTCTTAATGCGCATCAGGAATTCGAGGTGATTATCGGTCTTGTGATCGACAACGTTGACGAGCTACCAATTTCCAAGTCAATCCCTTGATGTCATCGGCCCCTTGAGGTCCGAGCAGATAACACCACCGGTGCGACTAGCGGGACATTGCACACCTACAAATTTCTTCGACTGCGCATTCTAAATCTGCTTACTCTAGCGCACGGAACGCACGCCATGTTTTACACTTCGTAAACTGAATACCAAAGCCGGGCTTGTGCTCCGTCTTTTCGACTGTGTATGTCCGAAACGCCGACGAAAGTGCATAGGTCTTACCAGCTGAAAGTCTCCGTGCACCACGAGATGCTCGCCATCCAAGGTGTATTTTCTTTTGAGTATCGCTACTTTTGCACACACAAGGTGTACTTTATACCCTCCTCCGCCATTTTTCTTACAACTTCAGACGCTACGTCTTTATTAAATATAATGTGTGTGCGCCTGAAGAACAAATTGAAAGCAAAAGGATCGCAACCTTATGTCTAACTAATATATATATAAATCGTGATCAAAGGCATAATAGAGACCATTTGTCGACTTTATCCCAAAAAAAACTGAACAATGAATATGCGCTTAATTTCTTTGATTTTCTAAGACGCGAAAATCGATTTCTTGCATATTTGTTAGTTGTCATTAATCTAAATGATCCTATTAGACCAGGGCGCGCATATATAGCTTCTAAAATTGCTTATCTCAACAAACGCACAAATGTGATTGCATCATCGTCACAGTCTCGTGCTAGCGCCAACATACTGTTTCTGCGTATTTCTTCCGATGTCTCCGGACACAACAATCATAAATCTTTACTTATCTCCTCCAAAGTAGATTCTTATCAGAATGCATACAGATGACCAAATTTTGTAATAGCTTTTAAGCGTTTTTGACATTTAATTATTTGATAAGGAAAAAGTTACATCTGCTATTAATCATGTAGTAGAAGACTTTGCTTTCAAATACTACCCTCTCCCCAGCTCATAACAGAAATGTCCTAGAATAGTTATTGTACTGAAAGCTGGGGTGGCTTAGTAATATCTACCCGCTACCATCAAAATGCATGTATGATATAGTATCATATCTGTTTTACCATCGATACCACTAAAGTACTGCGATCATGCAAATAGCGTCTATTGCACACGCCAGATTTTAATTTCACTTTAGTAAAAGATCGGCCACTCAGGAGAGACTTGTTTTTCGGCGGTGTCAGCGGGCAGTCAACCAATTGGAAAAAGCGATATTTATGCCCGCAAGGTGCGTAGCTACCGTATTTATCATACTGTTTACTATAGCATTCTAAATGTAGCTCATAAAATACCTTAGAGGTCGTTGTTGTTGCGATCTCAGGGGAATACAAGCTTTTTGATTTTAAAGAGGTTAGACGACCAGATTGGTGCATACCGAGCGAAGTCATGATTTCCATATCAGATAATCTCGACGTTAGTTTTCAGGCTGAAATCCACATTGAAAACAAAGCTCAGGATAAACCTGTTGAAGAACCCCTGCTAAAGCAGCGCAGCCTTTATCTTGCAAATCACGATCGGAGACCGCTTTTTCAAAAATAGCGTCTACCGGGCTCGAGATTTCGGCCCATGGCACGGCATTCTGCCACTCTTGGCGCCACGTTTTGTCCCTATGTGACCGATTCATTCTTAGCGGGAGGTTAAAGTCACCCACACTAAGCCACGATGAGTGACTCAAAACGTGTGGAAATGTGGTTCTACGTCTCGAGTGTAGAAGACACCTAAGCAAACACTTGTCGTACCTCAGTATCCGGACACAGTGTGGGCACAGCATATTTTGTATGTTTTTTCCACTCTACGAAAAAGATAAGCTTCTGTTTGACTCACGTCAGTATGGCCTAGCGTTTTGATTAGTGAGTCGCACATCAGTGTAGTTGGGGAAAATCCAGTCAACACCTTGCAGATAAACGTAGCGCACTTAGTTGTTGTGATGAGACTACAGTATACTGCAGGCGCCTAACTGTCCGATAGACGCGATCTGCGGAAGTTAAAACTCGAAGACGGGCTGGGATGAAGCTGGGGCAATTTGATGGGAAGGCAAGCTCAGACCTGTCTTTGTCCGCTTGTGGGGCAGCTGGCAAATCGCAATAGTCACCCTTCCATAGCAATTACGCACTGTCGTTGACATCGATTGGAAAGGAATCAATTTTTCGAACAGTACTGATACATTTGGGCTCAGATAAGAATCATACACTAGCTAGAACATGTCATCGGCTAAAGTTATCAAGCTTGTGAACGCTGATAAGATGTATTTGAATTTGTGTCGAATTCGATTGGCCGAGTAATAAACATCGCTTGATTGGGAAATACGAAAACCTGTACACTTTTGGTGAGTTGACAATATTCGCATCCAGCATGTTGGTACCTTCAATATCATGACTAAAGTTGGTGACGGACCTTTATTTCGAAGATTTTGCACTGAAATGAACCCGCAAAATTATGTTACTGAATGAATTTGATGTAGCCTGTCATTATCTAGAATAACTCTGCACCTGTTATTCAATAGACATGTCGCGCTTGATCAAAAAGGCAGCAGAAACGGGAGCTGAATGAGATATTGTGTTAGGAGCAATTCCGTCGGTCTTAGTTTGATTTGTGGTTATCGCAAACAGCGGCACGTATCGTGCAAAAACCGATCTCGCCCAGTTCCGGATGTAAGTACAACCCCGATTTAGAGGGTAATTTCCTGCGGCTTGAGAAAGGTAATGACAAAAGAGTCAATACTAATTGAGTCGTACACTTGTTCTGAAATATCTAGAAATGTATTAAAGGTTTAAGGTCGCCAGCTATGGTACTGTTATAGTTACCGGCTATCGGTCCAATCCGGTCACGCGTAAGTACGATTCTTTCTTACCTTAGCCGCGGTTCGGTTCGTAACCGTAACCACGGTCACGGTTTACTTAGTAACCGTCGCGTGTGATTGGATGCACCATATGATTGGATGCAGACTAAGTAGATAGTTGAAAGACCTAAAAATAAAATCACTTTAGAATTAACCTTTTTCCACTCAAGTGTCTTCGCTCTGGTTTACTTGGCTTCGACGACTCTCCCTCCGCTTCAGCAAACCCTCTCGCACCCGCCTTTACCAATAAAATGCATGAAGAAAACGGGGTCTAGTTGTAAGTCCCAGACGAATATTTAAAAGCGCTCAATGGTGTGTCTCTGTTTTGTATAAAAAAATGCCCCAGCTTTATTTCACACACTTTTAAAAATCTTAATCGATTTGACTCTTTGTGAAGCTCATTTATCCAGTTTTTTTTTGTGAAGTACTTTCAGTAGCCTATTGCATTCTCAGTTGAGACTGTATTTTAATTACAGTCGCGCTTGGTGTTGTTGTAGCAAGAGATTTGCGAATGGCTGCAACTTCATGGCCATTTTCAAATTGCCTTACAAGCGCAGCTTCTTCCGAATGAGAGCCTGCTGCAGCCGCACTCGCCCCGCCGCCAAGTCAAGAAAGTCTTGCTCTTCCATGTAAATCTGCAAGTCTGGCGCCAAGCGCGGATTGCGTCCCTCCGTCAGTGTATCTTTGCCATTCATAAGAGCGATAGTCCAAATTTCTTTGTTAGTATGCCATTCCAATACGCCTGAAGGTTGTTTGCTGACTAAATGGCCCTTTTCCTTCAAAGTGACTCGCAAGCGGTCAAATACTTCTGCGCACACTGGATCGAGATGCTGTCAAAGAGTTGGAAGGCGACATCACGTTGCGCATCATCGGCTCAAATGAATCCTGAGTTTAAGTTGGATGAGTAAGCCGGGTGAAGTCTACAGCGTCGCGCCATTGTTCAGCAACTAGCTCAGGTGTGAAATGTTTCAGGTCTGTAGGAAAGCCAACCCCATGCAAGCGTTGCAGACGCAGAGCTCCAACCCACCCTCCGCCAAGCTCGAAAAGCCTGCCGTTATCTTTGCACGACTCATGGCAAAGGTATACAATAATCGGCGACGTCAGCTTTGGTGTCAACCCGGCGTACACGTCGTCGGGCCACACCGGTTGGGTGAGTCTTGTACCAGCAATAGGAGACCAGCATTTACGGCGATGTTGTACTTCATACTTATTATATAATAATTATAAATTGTTTTAATTAAATAATTTTCCAATTTTAAATAATAATTATAAAGCTAAAAATTTGCGAAATTTTTAGTTTCATTTTTGGTAGCAGTAAATATCAATAATATTAGAACATTATACTTATAACTTTAAATCTCATAAAAATTAGTTATTTTATAAATCAAAATCAAAATTAATCAATTTCAGGTTTAGATATTGCATTATTTTTGGAATTTGCTACAGCTGGATAATCTATAATTGTTAAACATCGGATGCAGTAATTATTACACGAAAAATATGACTATAGAAGATGGGAATTAAACTGCAATTTGGTCCTATTGAGTAAAAAAGTAATATATATATATTTATTTAGTAATATATTATATATATAATTTATAAAAGAGAGAATACAAAAATGCCCCAACTTTTGCCATATATAAAAGAAATATCCCAACTTTCCAAAAAATAAAAAAAATACCCCAGCACGTAAATTATCACCGGGGAGCCGTAATATTAC